TTAAATTTTAAAAATTCATATCTAACTTCTAATAAAAACGGGAATGAGGGTCTACTATTCATGCAATAGTAAATAAATCCAATTTTACCATACATGATGTCACTTTTTATTTTTCATTTTGTTTATGTCAAACAAATGTTCTTCCACACATCATCTCACTAGCATTAAAAAAATAATTATATCAAACAAATGTTCTTCCATACATCATGCCACTGGCATTAAAAATAATAATAATTTTAGTAAATAGAAAATGCCATGAAAAAAAATTCTTCGCACATGAGCTTTAAAAAAAAAAAAAAAAAACCTCCGCACAATGCGAAGAGATGGCAAACCATGTTCGGAGTAAAAAAAAAAACTCTCCACATAGTGCGGAGAGATGACAAACCATATGCGAAAAGTTAGCACTCTCTCAGTACAGTGCGAAGTAAAAAAAAAATCTCTGCACAGTGCAGAAAGATGGCAAACACCATAGCAAAACTCTTTGCACAGTGCGGAGAGATGGCATTCTGTGCGAACATTGTCCTCACAAAGTGAGTACTCTCCGTACAATGCAGAGTAAAAAAAATAAAAAATAAAAAATAAATTTCGCACAGTGCGGAGAATTGGCAAACTCTTCATACAGTGCGAAGTTTAAAAAAAAAAACTCTCCGCACAGTAACTATCACGTGTGTTACACGAATTTTGCATTTATTGTATTTTTATTAGTGTATAAATTTTAATTTTTTAGAAAGTTTTTGAAGCAATATCTAGAAATATTTCCATGATATAAGAAAATAATTGCAAATTATTTTTACAATTGCATAACAGTATTGTGTCATCTAAAAAAAATATATTTGAATAAGAAATATACGAGATTATACAAATTATTTTGCTTGTATTCTTTGATAATGTTGATATGATTAAGTTGAATGTAAAGATTATATTTCTAAATTTTGTGTAATTTAATATTGAAAAATTGAAGATTGAGCATCATATTCATATGCATTTATATTTTATACTTCATATGTATTTAATATTTATTTTATGCTTATGTTGAAAAAATAAAAATTTGAATTTTTTTGTGAAATTCGGTTTGGTAAGTGAATGTACGGCGTTCTGCATTCTCGGTATTTGTAAGTGCAAAAATCAGTATATAAAAATACAGTAAGCTGCAAATATGGTAGGCAACATATACGGTAAGCTGCAAATACGGTAAGTTTTTTGCAAATACGGTAAGTTGTTTGCAAATATGGTAGAGTGCAAATACGGTAAACAGCAAATACGGTAAGCTGCATATATGGATTTATAATTTGTTATAAATGTATAAAATTTATTTAATATTGAAGTTTTTAAGTATTAAATGTTGTAATTCAATATTGTTTCCTTTTTTATAATTGTATTTCCGAGAATTAAAAAAAAAAAGTGGTTATGAAATTGCTAATTTTTAAATGTGTTTTTTTGTTGAAGATAAAAATGATTTTTTTTATGTTATTTGTAAAAAAAATTATTGTAATTTTATTAGCGTAATAAGAAGATTTATTATGCATTTCTATTTTTTGCATTTTGTGAAGAATTTTGTTTATGGTTATTGACAAATATATTTTTCTACACACGCATCATGCCAACAAAATAGAAAAATAATAATAATTTTAGTTTAAATAAACTTCATGAGAAAAAAAAAAAAAAAAAATCTCTGCACATGAGGAAAAAAAAGACTCCGCAAAATACGGAGAGATGGCAAACTATCTCTGCGCACAGTGTGAAGAGAAAAACAAAAACTATCGGGACTTTATCTGCAAGTTCCAAGAGGCCTTTTCTCAAACAACTTTTACGCAATGCATTGAACACTTTAATTCCTGATCTACAACCCGAAAGTATAATTTCATTGAAAATTGTATCCGCTTTTAATGTCCAAGAGCTGTTATCAAGCAAGTAAAAAAAATTGAATTTGGGAGGTACCCTAGAGCCTCTATTTGTGAAAGCAATGTCATGGTACTATCAATATCCCCTTCTTTGCACAACTCACGTATTGTTTCATTGTATGAATCACGAGAAAGCTCCTTTCCAATACCGTAAATATGATTTGCATGCTCAGAAATTGAGCTGTGATTGAAATTTAAAGAAGACATAATTGATTTTGAGCCATGTTTTTCGACTATGTTTCGTTGTATATGCGAAAAATTTGCAATTAAGGAATTTGACTTGCAATTAAGGAATTTGAAAACAACTCTCGGCACTGTGCGGAGAGTTTTTTTTCTCTCTGTACTCTGCGGAGAGCTGGTTGTCATCTTTTCGCACTTTGCAGAGAGCTTTTTTTTTTTATTTCGCACTCTGCGAGAAGGTTTTTTTTCTCTCCACACTTTTTTTTTACTTCGCACATGGTTCAACTCTCTACGCACTGTGCGAAGAGTTTTTATTTTTCTCCGCACAGTGCAGAGAGTTTTTTTTTGCTCTCTGTATTGTGCGGAAAGTTGATTTGTCATCTTCCGTACTATGCGAAGAAGTTTTTTTTTTATTTAGCACTGTGCGAAGAGTTTGACAACTCTCCGCACTGTGCAGAGAGGTTTTTTGCTCTCCGTACCTTTTTTTTATTTTTTATTTTTACTCCACATTTGGTTCAACTCTCTCCGCATTGTGCAGAGAGTTTTTTTTTCAATTTTACAATATTGAATTACACAAAATTTAGAAATATAATCTTCACATTCAATTCAATCATATCAACACTATCAAAGAATACTAGCAAAATAGTTTATATATTTCTTATTCAAGCATGAAATATACAAGCATATTTTTTCTAAATAACATACTGCTATACAATTGTAAAAATAATTTAGAATTATTTTCTTATATCATGGAAATATTTTTAGATATTGTTTCAAAAAGTTTCCCAAAAAAAAAATCATACACTAATAAAAGTACGATAAATACAAAATTCGTATAACGCCCGTGATGGTGACTAGTTGTTGTATAACTTTCTAATATTCGTATCCACAGGATGTTATTTATCATTTTCAGTAATTTAGGCGGCCTTCGATATTTTTTTTTCAATTCTGCAAAACATTGAAAATGTGTTTGATTTGATATTTTTGAAAATATATTTTCAAAAATATAAATAAACTTAAAACTTAAAATTCAAGATGCATTTTTCGACGTTTCGAGTGTTATTAGTGAAAATTTCAAAAACACTCAAATACATGAAAAACAAGCATTTAAATAGAATATAAAATTTTAAAAACGAAAGATATAAATTTTAAAACTATTTCAAAAAATAAAATTGAAAATTTCTAAAAATAAAAAATAATTTAAAAAAATAAAATCTAAAATTTTGAAAAAAATAAAAGGTAAAATTCGGAAAAAAATAATAATATTATATATTTATAAAAAGAAAAGTAAAACTATAAAAAATAAAGAATAAAAATAGTTCAAACTCTTAATGATTATTTACATGAAAATTTAAGAATGTATTTAAATGAACATAGATAAAAATATTCTGAATCCATGTCATTAATTTTTATTTTTGTTTTATATTTTGAACTCAACTTGTTACTTGTTTTTATTTTACTTTTGTAGCGAAAAAAATATCATAAGGTTTATCAACTTTAAAAAACTATATCTATATATATTGCTTGATAATTTATTAGAACTTTTACTGAAATAGTTTTTCAAAATGACAAATCAAACACGTTTTTCATAATCTCAAAATAGACACTTAAAATAGAAAATTGAAAGTGAACTCTAAACTCGAAATTGAAATACAAATCAAACGGGCTTTTAACTTTTTATTTTTGAAAAGAGGACCAATTTTAATATTTTTCATAGACCTTCTTCCTTCTATTTAACTTCTAGTTCTTTATAAATTTAAAAATTATGTTTTCAATGTAGAAAAAATTTGGCATGCCATAAATTGCGACTTGAGAGTTCACAAGAATATTATGGGGCTTGAGGTCTTTATGTAACTCAAATTGGAGATGAAGATATGAGAATGATTTATAATTTCCTTGAGAAGTATGGTCATGCCCGACTCTAGAAGGCCATAGGAACCACAAGAAAAGGATCGGTCATTGTCGATCCTATAGAACCCAAAGATATAAAATTTATTACGATAACTGAAGTTGTAGATCTTCTTCAGGTCTGGCTATGTGATAAAAATGAACACTTACCATATCATCGCATTGGATTCGAGTATTCTTGAAGGTGTTGATGTGAAATTTAAAAATAAAAAATTGAGTTATTTAGAGACAGTTTCTATCAATATAATTTGATCGTGACAAGTTTCTTTTAAATCAAATTTATTTTATTAAGTACGTGTAAATAGTCATCTCAACAAATATAAAATGAGAGTTATAGCGCATGAAGAGACGTTGAGCTTAACAATAGTAATCTCTTTAAGAAATTGGACTTTCTATTTTCAAATTAATAAAAAACATCGATCTCTGAAAGGTTTATGCATCTCTCAAATGAAAGATAAAAAGCATCGATCTCTAAAAGGTTTATGCATCTCTCAAATGGCCCTTCCCTCCTTGATTGTCATATTATATTCTATCCGTTGCTTGTGTTCGAGGAAAAGGTGAAGAATTGCTTCTCAGGCACACAATTAGCTTCTTTCATTGACTATAATTATTGGACAAAGCTGCTTGTCCTGGCTGGAAGTCCAGGGCCCCATGTGGCCCTGCTTATTTGATCATATGTTGGCCCACTAGAAATGGCATACTAATGATGGAGGAACAATCTAGTCCTTGTTTGGTGTGAATTAAAATCAGATTTTCAGTAAATTTTGATAAAAATGATGAAAGAAGTAACGAAAGGTCAGAATTTGATAATAGAGTGACAAACTTCATGCATATTATAGTCTGGTGATCCAACTGACATTTCTACAGAAGTTGAGTGATCAAAATTGAAATTTACCTGAAACAACACAACAAACTTGAATATTCATTTACTAGTCTCGCTGCGCATTTTACTCACAAAGGAATAGCAAAGGTTAACAAAGTGCCTGTAGAAAGAAACAAGAGGCAACAACGGAAAAATACAGATCGAACAGGGCCACGTGACCCTGTTTGAACAGGGGTGCGATGTGGCACCTATAAGGGGGCGCCACATCAGTCCCCTGCACGGATAAGGCCACTCGACAGGGCCAACGTGGCCCTGTCCGTCTAGCACCGTTGGAAATATCAGTAAGACAACAGCAGTATTATATCACACCATACCACTCTTTACACCAAAACCACAATAAGAGCAGCTTCACTGTTATCGTGGCATTAGTTTATTTAACTCCAACTGGACATTTTACCTCGATTTGAATTACAAGCTGCTTGAAATAGAGAGGACTAAGACCGTCTGCGATTAAAGAGTTTAGCATCTTAAAGTATTAATTTCCATAAAGGATCATCACGTATTTACAAAACAAACTAACAACCAACTTATCCATTGAGTCCAGCCTGCTCCAGTTGAATGCGTGATACAGCCCTCGGAAGCAGTTGACAGGAGGTCCTGATGACAGCAGATGGAAAACAAAAAATGATCAAACTTGGTGCCATAATCCCACAAAAACACATTTTTCTTTTTCGATAATTATAAGCATGTAAGACGGATCTAAGTAGTCCTCCAACAGTGTACCAAGGATGGACATCAAGATTTCTCGGGTGGATACAGAAGATCAGTTTGGTATCTAAAGCTTTTCAATAACACTGAATGGCACCATGCATAACAAACCTCTAGCACATGCCATTGAGCACCACCATATGGATCTTCTCATGTGTTATGACAGCATCTGATCCGAAAAGCGAGTTACAGTTACAAACTAGAGACGGACTTTCTGATACACTAGTGAAAGTAGTTCTTTAATCACGGCATAGTCAAGTTTCAAAGCTAAAGATCGTAATTCTCCACCGATATCAAAAAGAATCTTGATCATCCTCGGGGAATAACCAACTCTCTCTAATGATTTGGTAATGAGAATACTGCAGTGCACTCTGATAATATCAGCCTTGTAAAAAATCATAACCTGTGAACCCGAAAACATCAAATCCTTAGAAACCCCACACCTCCATTTCTGCATTCTTATGTCTATGTTTTCTGCTTCCAAGGGTTTTCTAGCAATCACATAATAGGCAGTTAAACATCCAAAGATTTTATCAAGTCAATAAATTAACTAATTTTAGGATAAAGATGGCTATCCTACCTTTTATGGAAATATTCTGGTTTTTTGTTTTATTGATACTTAGAGCATGTTTGAGCCCCATTTTCTCAACAAAATGTATTTTTGAATAGTATTTTAATGGAGAAAATATGGTTAAAAAATAAGGAAAGACTCTGAATATGCGTGTAATATTATTTTATTGAAAAATGCATGGTTGAAAAAATGAAAACTAAACAAGGGCTTAGGTTTCATCGGAACAGCAAACATAAACGCACAATGGCGTGTTTCAATGTGTTAAGTTCATGAATTCCCTAAGCTAAATCCATGCATCTTAGACAAAAGTCATGAACCGAATCTTCCACAAAATGACCGGTTCATATGTTGCCAACTCATTTGCAAAAGGTCACGGCACATACCTACGTTGCTAGAACTCGGGTATGGGTGCCGGATGTGCATACGTATCTAAAAGTCAGATCCTTGTACTTTTAAAACTTAAGAGGATATGGCTAAAAGGATCCAAATTTTGGACACGAATACGTGGATACGTATTACAAACATAAAATTTATATATTAATAATTTTAGATGTATTTTTTAAGGAGTATAAATTTAATGGGCTTGGTTTTATGCTTCAAAATCAATTTTATTGCTTTAAAATCGTGAGCCCCACTCTTTATCTTTGTGCAACTTCAGCTTCTTCCCATGGAAATTTCCATTCCAAGTTTCTCCCATGTCCACTTCTAAATTGATGGATTGACATGGAATCCATACCCATACTATATTGCGCGACCAAATTGCCCATCCTTTCATCAAATATTGTGCAATCTACATTCTACAAATACTTGAGTTCAGATCTATACGCTATCATTGGAAAAGCAATGGTCCACATACTAGAAACATGGTGCTGCACATAAGGCCTAAATTCAAAGAAATTCATCAAATTTATAAGCAAAGCCCTTGTCTAGTGATGAGTGAGTTTTACTCATTGTTTTAATGCCGCCACTTAAACTTGATATTTTGGTTGTCATTGAACAATGTGTGTGTTAATGTTATTTTATAGGCTAGGTATTATGGTGAAAAGAGCTAATTATGGAATTTGAAGGAGCTAAACATGAAAAGAAGGAGAAATGGTAAGAAAGTGTCTATGAAACCATGTAAAACAGGCCTGGAATAGGCCTTGAAGTGCCCAGACGCTGGAGCATTAGAAGAAGTTCAGAGAATTAGTGCCCCAGTGCCATACCAACGGAGGAAGGAGCAGGATGAAACGGCAAGTAGGCACCCAGGCGCCATGTGCCAACTGATTTGCCACGCCTAGGCCCCACAATTTGCGTAATTAGGTTTTTTCGAATTTTCTGCATCAGTTAAAGGGCCAATTGGAAGCAAACTTGGCCAGCACTTAAAAGAACCTATAAATACAACTTCAAAGCCACTTTTCAAGGGGAATTCAGTGACACAAGAGGCAAGAGGCAAAAGATCAATCTAGAGAACAAAGAGACAACAACGAGAAGAAGAATTCAAGCTCCAAACCAATTTTTATTTTTTTTTCTTATCCATATTTTTTATATTGAATTTGATTATGTCTATTTCATTCATCATGAACCAAATACTTAGTCTAGGTTTTAATGTAACCATAACTTCAGACCATTTTTTTTTTTTTTTTTTATATTAGTTATTTCTTTGAGTTTTTCCATTAAAGTTTATTTATGTTATTGGTTTAATACTTTCAATTAGCTAATCAATAATTAATTGATTTGATACTAATTAATTTCAGCACTCGAGAGACGAAAATTTAGTCACGATCTAAGAATAACATAACCTAGATTTTATAGGTTTTGAGAGAAAGTATAAAATCTTTAATGTTTGTTCCACTTAAAAACCACGAACTTAATAATTTCTAGATTTTAATTCAAAATAGAAATATTGGAATTAAAATATAGGAATAGTGCTTACTCGGCACGAGAGAGAGACAAAGAGAGAGAGAGAGTAGAATTAAATTAGGGTTCTTGCGTATAAACCTGGAAAAAGTGATTAGAGATAACTATATAATTGAGAAACATTGTTGATTATTAGGTGAAATCATACCCTAATCTTTCTCACATTGATTTATTCCTTCAAATTTGCATAATATTGTTTAATTCGCCATCACCATCATATTAGTTTAAAAATATTGATTACAACATTCATTCATCTAGATAAAATAAATGTTAAAACAATTATAGTACTTAGTAGAAATTGAATTCCAATCCCAGTGGATTCAACATCCATACTTGATCGTATATTACAAAACTTGACATAATATACTTGCAATATATTTACGTTATAGAAAAGTGTGGCATTTGGGTTTCCGCTTTTTTAACTAAAAGTTACTTTTCAAAGTAAAACCTTAACCACACAATCTCCAGGATCCATAAGCATTACCCATTTATCCACCACTCATTTCTTGAAAAGTAACTTTTTAGTTAAAAAATGAAACCCGAACAAAGACTTAATTAGTGTATCTCACAAAAAACTCACGAATCCTTGACTTTCTGCCTCATTTAATCAATGATAAGTTAATGTAGATGTCAATTACCAAATCATCTGCGAAAGATTCCATCATAGCACTTGATATTGGGCAATCAGTCAACAAGGACAAAAAAGCCATGCTATAGATTTGGCCCAACAATCTCCTTGTGGCATTTTATTTAATCCGTGACCGCCCGTCTACCACTATCGTAGGGGTCATCATTATTCTAAACTAAGTTATTCAGCTAGCTTTTATGTGACAATCGAAAATGCAAATTTTAAAAATTAAGTTGTTGAATATAATAATAGATTTACAAATATTTATTCTCTTTTATTTAAGTCTCTCAAACTTTTTTTAAATGGAAAACTAAAAAGTTTCCAACTTACATTTACTTAAATAGAAGTAGAAAAATTTAAGCCCCGGTTTAACAACCATTAGAATGATTTTTAAGTAAAATAAGTTTCAGAATAATGATTTTTTAGAGAATGCGTAATTAAAATGTAGGAAAAAAATTTGAGTTTACGTACATAATATTTTATTTTGAGAATAAGTAATTGAAAATGAGTTTAAAAAAAAAAGAATTTTATTTTAATAGTCATCAAACAAGGGCTAAGTAATAAAATACAAATATAAACAGTTATTTGAAAGAGTAAATTTAACTAGATTCTCTAAGGGTCTGTTTGATTGCAAAGATGAAATTTAGGTGGAAAGAAAACGAATTGAAGGGAACTGAATTGCCTAAAATTTGTTTTAGTGAAAATTGTCAATTAGCCCCCATTTGGCCACATTAAAGCTCATCAAATTAATTTAAAATTTTTCTCTCATATGTTCAACCACATAATTTTCAATAAAATAGTACTACATGTAAATCAAAAACTTTTCATTTTTTTACAACCATCAATTTTTGAAGAAAACACTATTCCTCTCATTATAATAAAAAATAATGGGGGCCAAACAGGAGCTTAATAATGTTTGACCAATATAATTTTTCACATGAAAAATGTTAAAATAAAAGTGTCTTTTGATGTTCGTTTGGCTTTGTTTTATATGAAAATTGTCAACTTAAAGGATATTCACTTCTACAATTGTTCCTAGAATTTGTTTCCATTGTCCTAAAAAAATAAAAAATCCAAAAATCATTTATATTTTGGTATTCGTTTGGTTTTGTTTTATATGAAAATTGTCAATTTAAGGGATATCCTTTTTTATAATTGTTCATAGAATTTGTTCCCATTGTCAAAAATAAAAAAAATAAAAAATAAAAAGGTGAAAAACATAAAAACCGCCTACCCCATGGGAAATTGAATTCCCCAAAAAACCAAGAATTGGTACTTGTGTGAGGCAAAAGGGGGGAAATTAATTGGTTGGAACACTTTGGCTATCAAACATAGCCTAAATGCTCTCTCAGCTCCTAGTGCTCCCACTCTCGCTCCATTAATAATCTCACCTGGCAGACGATACAAAGATAGATTTATCTTATTAAAGTTTTCCAAAAAGAAAACATAGATTGACGCAGTATTCAAAAAAGTGCGATCAACTGCCAAGTTGACCGCTTAATGCGCGACTAGGCATGCTTTATTTTTATTTTTTCTTTTTTTTAAAAAACTTTTATTGGTTTGTTTCAAGTTTTTCCTTTGAAAAATTGTATAATTGACTAATTGTAGGAATTATTAAATAAATATAGTATTTTATAATTTTGGATGTTTAGTATATATTATTTTAATTATTAGATAGTTTTTAGAATGATTAGTAATTAAAAACAATATGCAAAATAAGAAAACACTTTTTTACATCTAGGCTCATCAATTTTGAAGCTTGACCTCAACACCTAACCACGCTTTATGCTTTTTAGAACGCTTGATTGACCCTATATACCATGAAAATCTATACCTGAAATCTGAGACATAACATTCTTAGCTATATGACAACTATCATGTAAATCAATTTCAATTTCCAGTTTGTTAACATTCATTTGAAAAGCAAAAGTGACACGTGCTCTAACTAAATAAATATTTAAGGTATTTAAGTTGAATCACCCATTTTCAATGTCACAGTGTTTCAATCATTCTGATAATCAAATATCTTTGGGTCTTCTCAATCAAACATCCAGCACAGAACTTTTGCAAGGGATGAATGACTTGGAGATAATGCACTTGCGTGGATAGATTAAATTAACATGTCATCTTGACCTAGTTTCCCTATGATGAAACAGACATGCTAGGCTACTGAAACAAAATAGATCCATTGTATTCCAAACAAATTCATTTACAAACAGCATCGACACACTCTTGGGCAAGCCTCTACCTCAGAAAAATAATTACATGGTTTGACCCCCAAAGTCCACCTTATTAATTTTACTTTATATTACATACCTAGGAACAATGCCATTGAGACATCCTTTGTAACGACCCAGGTCTCGTGTCTAACCGAAGCCGCGAGAAGTAAGATGGACAAAGCTCTCCCATAGCAGAAAGTATGCAAGTTAACGACTTGGGCATAGAGAGGTCAACGATTCAAAGTTTGGGGACTCAATAGAAATTCATGAGGGTTGAAATGGGCTTAAGCTCCCCTATAGCTAACAATATGTAAGTTAATGACTTGGAAACAAAGGCAGGGTCGTTATAAAAAATGTACATTTTTGTGTAACAACGCGGCCTCTGTTCTCAAGCCGTTAACTTATGTACGGTCCATTGTGGGAGAATCTAAACCCATTTCACCCTTCATGAATTTCTATTGCGTCCACAGGATTCGAACCAATGACTTTTCCCTTACGAGAGACTTGAGTAGTCATGGGTTTGAATCTTAGGGACGTAATAGAAATCCGTGTGGGTAAAATGGACTCAGGCCCTCTTATATAGGACAATGTGTAAATTATTAGCTTGAACACAAAGGCTGAGTTGTTACAAAAAAATGCGCAAGTCATGTATATATTGTTCGATTGTTCCAACTGCTAACAAAAAAAAAAAAGCACAAGTCAAAAAAATGCGCAATCCATCACCAATTGCTAGAACAATAAACTGGAGATGGAATTTGGAACTTGGAAGTGATTTCGAGTTACATGATGCATGCCACATGGTGAAATCCAGATTTGGATGCAACCTAAAGATTGATTGAACTAAATAGAGTTGAATGTATTTTGCCCAATTATAAGTTTTAGTACCTCCATTTTAGTAGAGTGAACTGATTTAGAAAAGAAAAACAACACCAACATTTTGTAGCAGTACTACATTATTGAGTTCCACCATTGAAATCTTTATAACATTTTCTTTCCTTTTCATAATATGAATAACCTATTAATGTTTAGCAGTAAGTTCCATACGGAGGTCAAATAGAATTCCAGGATTTTCTACCTTACAAATGCTGGCACACAACACAAGCAACTCCTATTCTTGCATTTGTTATTTGAATGTGAACAAAGAAGAAGTAAATTAATGCTAAGCCACCAAAAATTTTCATACGGGTAATATGTTGGCTCATTCTTTATCTTGTTAGATATTGAAGTGTCACTATTAGATCCACATTCAATTCCTAAATTTTACTATTAATAAATAATTACTGGGACCAACTTTGCATTTAAACTGGTTAACCAAACTACCACTTGTACCCACCACTCTTGTCAACTGTTACATGCAACTGCCCACAACCATGAGGGAAAATAACAACACACGGGCGTTACAATCATTCCCAACAAGTTAAACAACATTGTCCTAGACCACCCCCAGTATGCATCCAGAACGCTGCTCACAGCCTCACACCATTAGAACTCTGCTCACTCCATTAATACCCAGGCATCTATGCTCATACCATTTGTCAGGCCTTGGACCACACTTCTTGGACCACAACCATGAATAGTAAGAAAATATCAATGATGCTCAAAATTAGGCCCAAAGTTTGTCAACCGAGAGCAAAGCACAGGGACTGATGCTAACCATTAAGTGCAGACGATAGAAGAAAAAAATGATTATGCTTTGATACCATGATAAGTGAGAATCATTTTTGAATTATGCTTGTACATTAGAAGAAGTAATTTGCGGCTTTTTTTGTAATGTTTTCAAGGGAGAAACAATTGGAAACTATCCTATTCAAGGCCTAAAACTACTCCAATCAACAGTCACTAATTACACGAAATAAATACAAATTATGTGCACAAAAGAAACAATCATAAATTGAATTGCAATTCATATAGGCCATAATTCCATATAATACTACGCGTTTCCATCACAAACTCAGAGACGAAATGAATTTACGTACATGAATGATTATCTGTTGTCAATCGAACTGTTTATGGAGAACATTAATATTGTTTGAGGGTGACAGGGGGATTGTGAATGCATCTAAGACCAACAATCCACTGGTAATAAATGGGAATGGTCTCCACTAGTTGGGATGATTGCATGATGACCATTAGATGAGAACAGATGAAGGAATTACGGGCCTGAAGTTATGGAAAACAACAAACTAAAGGTGATGTGGAAAACAATTATACAGACAAGATGCGTTCAAAGGAAAGTGATGGTTGCAGGTATCGTATATTGTGTTTAAAGGACAGTAACCCGGTCTTTGAGGGATTGCTCTTTGCATTAAACCCTAAGTACTATATGTTGAACTCTAGCGTAGCTTGCTAGTAGTGTGTTTAGGTGTTAAATCCTTATTGCTAATAAAAGGTGCTGGTGCAAAGGCCTCAGGTAATGAGCATACCTGCAGTTAATGCGCCTTGATCTGGTTGTACAAGACTACAAGTGCCAAGAAAGTTCATAAAAAAATAAATTTTAATTTACTTAAAATGGTGATCTTTTAACATCAAGTTAGACCCCTTTTGTATAATGAGAACCTCAAGAGTATTTCTGAGAATTAGAGGACATGAGATAAAAAAAAAAATACTTAAGAAGGATGTCTAAGTAAACCTAAACACACTGGAAACCCCATGTCAATCGTGAAAGAACATCAGCGTTTTGAAATTTATTTCAAAAATAAAAAAATATGGTCTCAATTACTCGTAACAATAAGGGTGTGTTTGATTCACCCAATTCCAATTTCCCACCCAAAATGTGGTGTTTGATTCACAAGATTTTCCATGGAACTGATTTCTAGCTTTTATTGAAAGTTGTGCTATTCCTTGATTTGGCTACTGTAGAGATTTTTTTTTTTTTTTAGGCAATGGAAGCCAATTCTAAGAATTATTGTAAAAAAAAATTTCTCTTTCATTGATAATTTTCATGTAAAACAAAGCCAAACGAACACTACAAAATGGATGATTTTCTTGAATTATTTATTTATTTTATTTTTATTTTTTTGCTTTTTGGCAATGGAAACCAATGTCATCCCCAATACCAGTAAATTTTATCTTTTAATTGACAATTTTCATGTAAAACAAAGTCAAACGAATATCAAAAAATACTTTTATTTCAACATTTTTCACGTGTAAAATTATACCAATCAAAGATAATAATTTACAATTCCCAGGAAAATAATTCTAGGCAATTCAATTCCCAAAAATTCGTTTTCCATCTAATTCAATTTCATCTTTGCAATCAAGCGGACCTAAGTTCACGACTAGGAAGAATTCAAAATACAATATTAAAATTCCATCCAACCAAACATCAACTTTTAAGTTTAAAGCAGATTTGCGATAGTAGCATGTAATAGCACACTTTTAAACGCAGAAATTGAAAAACGGCAATTTAACACTCTATTAAATATCAGTATATCAGCAAAATTAAAAAGTTCACGAACTGACCAGTGGATATTATTAACCTTTATGAAGATGCGCGCCTGCCCTCGCAGTCTGGAGCCTCATCAAAATTCTTGGAAGGATACTTGGCGGAGAGCACACCGACCTCAAAGACCAAATCCTGACCATTCGATCTGATACCGGTGATACCCCACCATTTGAAGAATGCCCTGACCCTGATCCCGTCAATTTCCGCGATGCGACTATCCACGATTTTTCCAGTAATTTTCTTGGAATAGGTGGCTAGGTAGTTATCGGGAGGCAGCGTCACGCGACATGTGTCCCCCAGCATGACCAAGAAGCGGCCGGAAGTGTGATTAAGAGATAACGACTGCACATCGGTCGGAAGGAGTCCTATGGGGAATCCATACTTAATAAGCTCCTGATGGGCTTCCCCGGTCCCAGATTTCGATTGGACTTTAGGGTTTGAGGTTGAAATTGACGATGAGAAGGAAAGTGAGACGAGAGAGAGACAGAGGAGGCACAAAATTTGAGGTTTTGCCATGGGATTGTGCGTTTTTCGTCTGTGTTTTCACCAAGTGTAAGGTTTGGTTTGGGAAGCAGGAAGGGATAAGAGGTCAATTATTAATTACGACTGCCAGCGAATTAGATGATGAGAGTAGATCAGGACTTGATAAGTGACCATAACCGAAAGGGAGAATATCTCCTCTTCTATTAAAAAGGTTGGAATCAACGGCTTCACAAAAATTATGAATTATTTATTAATATTTTTTTAGATAAAAATAGATCTTTAACAATTTAGCCCTTATTTG